AAATTTTCCTACTCTGGTAAAAAAAAAACAAAAAGAAGTTATACAGTATCTTGCATATGTATGAATAAGAACAGCCCCAGTAGAAAAATCATCCAATAAACTCTATAAAAGCAAAGGTTTCCTTGCTTGGTATGGATTTTATGGAATAGAGGTCAGTAACAGAGTGGAATGTATCTGAGATATCTGTTCCTAATAGAGGTTAAAACTTTCACTCATTCCAAAGTAGACACATAGCTCAAGAAAAAGAAAGAAAAAAGAGAGGACGAAAAGGGGACCAGGAAAATGGCCCAGTGGAATAAGTGCTTCCCTGAGAAGTGCAAGGGCTTGAGTTCAATCCATGGTTCCACAAAAAAAAAAAAAAAAAAGATACTGCATGCATGATTTTCATGGTCATTACAATTTCACCTGCCCCTCTTTTGCATTCTGATATTAGGCCAGTCAAAAAGATTGTTAGTGATATTGTGCTCTGGAAACAAGTAAAAATTTCTCAAGTAGAGATCAAACTGAAGACAGCAGATGTGTGAAACATCAGATACTGAGATGGAAATGTCAAGAACATACAGGAGGAAGAAAAATATACTGTAGATAGATAAATAGATAAGAAAGAAATGCTAGTGGAAGAAGAAGAGATAAAGACCAGAGAAGAAGAGAAAGAAGTAAATTAATGTTTTCATTGTGCTTTTGGTTGAAATTGCTAGCTTGATTAGAACAGAAATGATAAGACCCCAGGGCCAGCTAGAAAGCTCAGCAGATTAAAGCACCTGCTTAGGCAGATACAGGATCGAGGTTCAATTCCCAGCATGCTGTGCCAGCCATGGCCCCAAGCCTTGCTGAGAGGGTGATTGAGACTAGGTACGGTGCCATGCACCTGTAATCCCAGTGCTTCAGAGGCTGAAAACAGGAGGAGCACTACAAGTTCGATCTGTGTAGTGAGACTCTGTACTAAATACATAAAAATTAAAAAAAAGATAAGATCCTGATGTTCCGTCCACTCATTAAGTGATCTTCAGTTGATCCTCCATCACTTTTTCCTAAAGCTGATCACTTTGCTTCTGACTTGATCATCTTTCCGGTATTTGTTCACTCAGTTCTAGGGATTATTGAGCTAGCATCAAATCTAAGGCAATGACCAATAATTAAATATCTTTGTTTCTAGAATGTTGGATTCAATTATTTGTGATTTAAGAAATTAGCTTTTCTATAAGGTTGATTCTATTTCTGTGAGAGCTTATCATCTTCACATAATTCTCTCCTGGTACTGATTGTTTATTAAATTTTGGGCTTATATTCAATAATTTCATGAAGTCTTAATGTCTTTTTATTGGTCTCCAATGTCACAGTGCATCTTTACCAGGTATGGTGAAACACACCAATAATCCGAGCACTTGGGAGGCTGAGGTAGGAGAATCACCACCACCTTCAATATGCTATGATGCCGTCTTAATTTTTGGTTTGACTCAGAAATGCCTCCCTGGGGCCGGGGAGATGGCTCAGTAGAATAAGCGCTTCCCTGGCAAGTACAAGGGCCTGAGTTCAATCCCGATTCCACCAAAAAAAAAAAAAAGCCTTCTTTTCCCTTTCTATTCATGTGGTCTCTACATATGCTTCCCAGAGTATTTCTTATATTTTAAGCAGAATTTTCCATGACTCGGTATTATGTACTCCTTAATAAATTAACACATGTGCACATTCTAAGAAGTGTTCTAAAATTATAAAAGTAAAGCTATGTTAACAGCCCATTAAGGCCATGAAGAGAATATCTTTATTTTCAGATCTATAGGATAAGGTTTAAAGAAAACATATGAATAGCTAACATAAGGTTCACTGAATTAATAACATTATATCTTTGTTACATTCCTTATCACTAAGACATAATATCCAACATTTTCAACTTAAGGAGGAGAGGTTCGTTTTGGCTCATAAGTTCTTAGAGGTTTTATTCCATATTTGCTTGACTCCTGGGTAGAAACAAATGAGGCAAAGGCCTAAGAAAGCTGCTTACATGGGTGGCCAGGAAACAGAGATGGAGATAAGCAGTGGACAGTGAGATACACACTTCTGGGCCATGTCCCCAGTGACCACTCTGTTGGCTGCCCCATCTCCTATCAGCACATTTAGCTATTGCACCCTTAGAATTCAACCTCCTATGAAGAGCCCCATCTATAAGCATATGTAGCTTTGTGGGGAGATCTAGATGTAAGTCATTCCATGATTTTTTTTCAGTTAGTAGGATATTATATAACAAATATTCTGGGGGCAAGGATTAAGTTTGGAAAATACAGGCAGCAAAGATGTCTGACCTGAGTGAGTTTGTAGTGCATAGGGGGATGGGCAGAACGATAGTAACGCTGCTACATAGATAATTCCAGGCTGAGGATGATACTTACATGGTCATATTGTATGTTAACTGGGGATAGAAAAACCTAGCGCAGAGTATAATGACATTCAATCATCTCTGGAGGGGTGCCAGGGACTGTTTTTCAATGAATTGTAAGGATGGAACAGAAGACGGATGTAATACATAGTAAGGAGAGAAAGAGAGTCCAGCCAATGAAAACAGAGGACTAAAGTAGGATATTTTAAAGCATGTGTAGGTAGATAATGTAACGTGGCTAGTGCAGAGACTTGTAGCAAGCAAGGGAGGAGAAATAGAAGCCGTAGTGGGTACTGAGATAGAGCAGTGGGTTATACTCGCATGTAGAACGATAACGATAACAACATCCTATAGGTACTGGAAGGTGGAGGTAGGGAGATGGTGACACTTTATTCTCCATAAGTGTAGGAGCTATAGTCAGACGGTTTGGGAATACGTGACTCTGCAGCTCAGCTTTTCTTTGTTTGTACAGCATATGAAAGTTAGCCATAGAGAAAAGGAATGCTCATTTTAGATGGAGAGATATTATTATTATGGGAAAAGTTTCCAGATTTCTCTAAACCACAAATTCTCATTAATGTTTACCTATTAATTTTTAATTAAGTTTATTCACGATGTTCACATTCATTGGATTTGTACCTGTACATGAATATCTTGATTCTTCTTCTTTATATATTTTTTCCTTCTTTTCTCAGTTTTTCCTTTTTCCTTCCTTCCCCTCCCAAGTTCCTTTTCCCATTTGAACATTTTCTTTCTACTTCACAGTATCTATTATACATTTTGGTCCTTATTTGTACTTTTGATTTCTCATGCCACAGGAATAATGTAGTATTTACTCAACATTACATTGACTGTGAGTAAATATGTAAACGGATGTTTTACTTCACTTAAGAGTACTTTTAAGCCTTTCTCCTTCTCTTTTCCAAGTAAACATCGTCTCCCATATTTTCTATTGTTATTGTTTTTAAATTGAACACTCTGTTTTTAGCTTAATTCCAAAGATCCTACTTAGAGTTACAATTTTCTTTGCTAAAAGTCCTACTATTTTGTATTTCTATTCAGAAGGTCAAGCGATAGTCATGGGTTAGAAAACTCTAGACCTAGACTTACATTAGCAAGATATCAAAATAGAAAAGCCTGGACTCCTTCCCTATGCACACTTCAGTTCTACAGTGACATATGGCTGCACCCATTGGTGAAAAACTAAAACACTAGTTAAGAGAGAACACTTTTTAAATCTTCATTTAGCTATATGAAAATATACATTATATATAGTACACACACACACACACACACACACACACACACACACACACGTACTCACATATTCCCGCACTCTGGGCTCAGGCACCATAGTGAAATGATACTATTATTCCCTTAATCTAAGACTCATTCATGGGCTGGTGAGATGGCTCAGTGGTCTAAAGCACCTACTTAGAACAAGCTTAGCAAAGCACAGGGACCGCGGTTCAATCCCCCAGCACCACATGCCAGCCAGCCCTGCCCCCTGGTGGGCTGAGCTGGCCACACACACACACACACACACACACACACACACACACACACATAAATAAATAAATATTTAAAAAAAAAAGACTCATTCATTCACTCAACTCCTGATTTGCTCCAAGTAGTCTTATGCCTTAATAAAAATGGCGAACAAGTCCTTTTCTTGTGTGATTTATAATGCAAATAAAGTTAGGTGACATTGTATTTTACAAATAACAAACACTTATACCACATATTCATAGCAAATTCTCATGCATACATTCCTGATTGTCTTTTCCAGGTATTTCTGCAAGTCTTCTCTGTGTATCATAGGCAGCACAACTAAGTAAAAATGATATGCCCCCCCACAACTACTGACTTTGAACCACACCCAGGACCAATTCTCCTTCTATTTTCCTGAGAGAAGCAAAGAACAACAAAGACTCAGTGTCTCTTAAAAGATGCATGCTGGAGCATGTTGAATCTGTGGCCCGGCTTTCAGTAATCTTTTCGTACTTGAATGTTGTTAAAGGTTCATACAGAGGGACTATATCTTCTGCATGTGATTAGAACGGAGTGGAATATTATGAGCCCTAAGGTGACTCAGAGCCCTGCCAGTCATTTCTGTCAATCTTATCCAGAGACACAAGAGGGACCCAGGCCAGGGGGCACATCTCTTAAAACCTGAAAGCCTGGTTTATCTTCCCTTTTCCTATCCCCCGTGATCCTGGCACCACTTATCTATTTGTGCCACCTTTGTGTTTCTGTTGCCATGGACCTGCCCTGAGCACGCATTCACATTATTTTCAATAAATATAGCTGCTTTTCCTTTTACCCTTGGGTGTACGCTTGCAATTCCTTGCTGTACACAAGAACCTGAATCTATCTCTCACAAGCAATGTATAGTGTTACAAGGAGAGAGAAACAAGCAAACATAAGCTCAATTGTGATAGGTTGCTATTTGCTACCAAAATAAAATTCATGCTGTGCTATTATTCTCAAACATCACAAAATGTTGAAAATTTAAATATTTTTGTTTACACAGTGTGACACTATTATACATTCACAGTGCATATCTTTCTAAAAGTCACTGGTTTGTAATTTGCTCTGTCATTAATAATTTTGTGAGCATACTTACTCAAACTGCAAAACCCTTGAGTTCTTATATTCATTCTTCAGATTACTTGATTGAAAGATCCCATCTATCTAAAAAAGGTTTAAAAAGTGTATTAAATTTGGCAAATTATATTAAATTGGAGATTTTATCCTTTGTACACTTTTTTTTTTTACCAAGTACAGATAATTTTTATGCTCTGCTTAAATTGGGGAAATTTTCTTCATGAAGATAAGGGATTCATTAAAAATATTACACATGTTTGCTAATATTTATCATGGTGAGAAAATCTGATCTCTGTATATCTTGGCAAGAAGTTAATGAAATTATATTATGAACTGAAAAGACACAGTCTCTTACCATTTGCTGAATGTCAAAAGCAAGAACTTTGAATTCCACTGAGTGTTTGTCTTGTAAATTAAGGTTATATGTAGCTCCAGATATTACTTTAAATGTCCCTCTGGTTTCATGATTTTTTCCAAATACAGCATCTAGATAAATTAATAAGAAATAAAACACTGAATTGTGGAAGATACTATACAAAATCTTGTTTAAGACATAGAAGTAAAGCTGTTACTTGACATGTTGGTTTTACAATTCTTGATTTTTCTCTACAGATTTTCAATTTAAAAATCATCTGTTTTTCTTTCTTTCCTTTTTGCTGCCTATTTTTTTAAGATTAAAAAAGACGCTTAATTTCTCTTCTGTTGTTTCTTTTCTTTCCTTTGAAGTCTAACACACATTATAAGACTTTGAGAATTTTTTTAAATTTGAGATGCCTGTTGGAAGACATGGGGCTAGTCAACTTCTACTTCCATTAATGGGAAGTGATTCAGGAAAACGTGGTGAGAAGGGGACCATTAAAAGTTGCGTAGCTGCTTCTCTGCGTTTCTTAATCCCTGGCCTTCAGGAGCACTGCTGACTTTCTAGGTAGGGACTGCTGGGAGGATTTCAGTATTTGTGTTACTTTGAAACGTATCTTTGAAGCTACCTCTTGTGTTTTAGTAATTATAAAATTGCTATGTTTGAACATTTGATGCTTACTAGCCTTATATAAGTTAAGGGTATTGTAGCAAGTATCTCAATAACAAAACAGTGAGGAAGGAGAGAGAAAACTGCATAATTCTGCTATTAGAATATTTTTCTTCTACCTATATTTATATATAAAATATATAGCTTGAACTAAAAAACCTAATGGTAAGATGATTAGGATATATAATAAAATTCTCACATTGGTAAGATGTTACTTTTTTCTTTCTCACAACGAGAAAATTAGAATGTAAAATGAGTGAGAATTTTCTAAGCAGCAAAGGTCTTAAGTGACAGATTTGGAATTTGGACATATAAGTTCCAAAGTCTTTCTAGCATCAAACTTTTCAGCTCAGAGTACCAGATATAATATCAAATTGTAAACTTGGACTTAGGCTGAACAGCCATCATTGCATAATTGATGTAACTGATAGTTATTTGTACTACTTCATTTTTTAGAGAGTCAAAATTCCTTTTAAATTTTTTTTGTTTAAATGCAGATTATAAAGACTGAAAAAATATCATAGAATATAAAGACAAAGGAACATGAAAATTTACTGCTGGTCAGGAAACTTCATCAGATCTTAAATATTAAAATGTCAGTAAAAAAAAAACTATTGTTCAGTTAATTGTATTATCGTGTTAGTTTCTTCCTTGTGATACTTAGTGCAGACATGAACGTATTAATTATTGAGAAAAGCTGGGTGGAAGGTTAAATAAAAGTCTGTACAATTTTTAATTCTTTAAGGTTTAAAATTATTTTCAATAAAGTATAACAGCATATATATTAAATTCACTGCAGTATGTCTTATAGCCTCTTGTATTTTATTACCAATGTAACTCAAATAGCTGTTGTTTTTTTTTTCTTTTTTGTATGTTAGGACAGGGTTTACAGCATCTACAGGGTCTCACTTTGTAGATCAGACTTGTAGGGATCCACCTGTGTTCAGCCTCCCAAGCGCTCAAATAGCTTTTTATAATTAGGTGTTTCCAATTAAATTGCATTAATGTTTGTGAAAATTTGTTTTCTGTTTTATTTATAGAATAAGTATTGCATCATTATTGAGCACCAAAGATTCCAATAGATTCTTCAATGAAGTCCACATGGCTATTGGCACCATTTAATAAGATCAAAGCAACCATTTTCCAAAGGTTTGCATGAGTGTTCATGTGATCATAAAAAATCACTGACACTCTTTTTTCTGTGAGATATATTCCAAATGTATGGTTATAGCTATCTTATTTAAGGAAACCAGGGATCCTATTGAAATTGTTATATAAAACTATAGAATACATCCTAATTTGAAAATTTATTTATGAGGAAAAATAGCCAACTCAATATCTGAGAATTTTCTTGGAAGAGTGAGAGAATATATGTGACAGGTCCTATGTTTGAGTTTCCAGAAAGCGTTTATTTGCTATCTATCATTAAAAATGTGAATATGAGAGCCAGGGCTATAGCTCTCCTGCCTGGCAAGTACAAGGTCCTGAATTTGATTACTGATACCAAAAAAATAAAAGAGCATTTTCTCAGAAAGAATAAATTCTTAACACATTTATTATTGCTATTCACCTAATTTAGTTATCTTCTAGGTAAAGGAGTTATAGATAAGATAGATACTTCCAAACTTAGATTATTTGGATTAGAATTTTACTTTTATTACCTATTCATGATGCAAAATTAAGCAAATAGTGCTTAAATTCCTCATTTCTGATTTCTCATTTGTAATATGAAATGCTAATTACAATTAATTCATGGGTTTACTGTATCAGGATAATGCAATTGAATATCTTTGAAAAACTGGTGGCTCGGATTAAGATAGTAATCTTTAAATAGTAATATTTAAAATTGAATAATAACCTTTAAAATTATTTTTCTATCACTAGTAGCTACTCAGATTGAGATTATTTTAAATCTACATTTACATTCAAATTTATTAATACTGTTTCAATTAAAGTTTTTGGGATAATAAAAGAATGAAGATATTATTCTATAGAAATAAACAACAATGTGCATATACATAATGACCTGCATTGTGAACAGTGTTTTAGTATTGATAACTTCAAGTCAACCAGAAGGAGCCCTCATGTTGTGAAACCTGCTGCATTAGGTGCTGATTTAAGAAACACCATTATTTCCAAAAAGAAGGAAGAAAAGAAAAAGAACACGTTAGTCTCGTGGTTGAATTATAGATTAAATTTGAAATTACATACCAACTAATTTTCTTAATATTGTATTAAGTACAGACAAGCAAATGAATATAACAAAATATCATGAAGTCCAGTGATGAATAAAATATAGTGACAGTATTATGAGAGGATAGTGTGTAGTTACATCTGAAAACACCCTCAGTATCCCAACCTGGGACCTACCTTTTCCTGAGTCCTTGATTACCAGCCAGGACAATGCGATTAACCCCGCACAGAGCAACAGCAATATGGCAAACAGAGCTGCGAACATGACTTCACCGGAGCTCAGAGGCCGGTGCCTTGAAGATGCACTTCTTTTTGAGCCCATTGCAGGTTTTCGAAAGCTTGCTAACTTACAACTTTTGAGAGACTATAGATACTTATACTTTCTGGGTCAGCAAACTTGATACTCTAGCACCAGTGGAAGTGCACATTCTAAATTTTAAGCACAACCTAAGTTACACTCACAGTAGTTGGTGTCAATGTGTTGTGCATGTCCCTTCCTTTGACATTGCTAGTATCCTATACATGAGGTCACTCTAAAATGGTGGTTAATATTTAAGAAGATATAATTGAGTAAAGAAGCCTGTACTTGTAAACAGTAATCACGTGGAGAGCCTATGTGTTGTGGTGAGTAAAATTAAATTCATGTCATAAACAAGAAATGACACATCATTTTGAGTACTATTAGGAAAACATGAAATTCGTGACAAATGAATTAGTCATTAAGCATTTGTATTTTGATATTTGTAGAGAGTTCTTAACAGATCACCCTTCAACCTTCTGACTCAAGTCCTTAATGAGGCATGTCTCTTGTTCTACAGGTGCAAATACTTTAAAAATCACATGCACAGATTTATAAATCTTAACTTAGAAACTACCTCTTTTTCTCTCTCTATGTATGTATACATATAATATAGATTTCTTATTGAAGCGATTAAAGGCTTTGCCACCTTTATTGTGTCAATCATGCTAAATTATGCGAGGCAAGGCAGTATTGATTGAACTTTAAGTCCACTTACACAAGGGCACACGTGGCTACACTTTATGGCCTTGTATCATTATAAATTATGGGAGTAGCTACCATAGAAGAAATAAAACATTTGTTTCTCATTTAAGACAATATTCAATGTGGAGAAAACATTGCTCATTTATCTTGGATTTTATTCCATTAAATGCTTGTAAGAGTTGATTTATACTATATGGGGAAAACAGGATTATTAACAGTAATTAAAGTATAATGCATCTTTGGAAAACTTATACTTGGATAGAAACAAATCCAGGATTAAAAAACAAACCAACCAACCAAACAACTAAATAAAACCAAATCTAGTCTGAAGTAAACTAACTTGCTTTTTGCTTTGGTATGTAAATTTGCCTAGATATAAGAAAGTACTACACCAGAAACCTTAAATATGCTGAAGTAGTGCAGCATTGTACTTGGATTGAATGAACTAGAATCATAGTTTTTTATGATTAAATAAAGTTTGCATGTTTTGCTCAAATCTCTACTGGCAAAAGGTGGAATATAAACAAATAAATGCATCATGGAAAATATTATTATTTAATTGAATTAAATTTTATTGTTATATAACATAGAATAAACATGAAATGAGAGACACATCTGAAGAAGGGGCAGAAATTTACTTTATTTACATTATAGGGGATAGTTCTAATAACAGGCCACGTTCTGACATAACTGGAGACTTCAAATGATCCACGGATATAAAAATCCAACAAACAACAATGACTATCTTTGTATAACTAATGCAAAAGCAAACATTATCAGAAAATCAAGTATAGTTCCAAATTACATTTCTTTCGACTTTCTAGAATAGAAACTGAAAAGTAAATTTGAGAGTTCTTTGACCCAAATACGAAAATTTCATATAATATTGTATTAAAATAAATAATGTAACATTAAAATATAATATTAAAATGAAGAATGATTAGGCTCAGAAAAAATCGACATCCAAATTATAAATTATCTTTAGATGGTGTATTGTAAAAATACTCAGTGTATTCAAGTAAATGTGTTGAATCATGCATTTTAAAGGCAATCATTATGAACAACAGACTGAAATGTGAAATAAAGGTAAATGTGAAGCAGAATTCATCATGTAACATTTTTTAAAAGCTATTAAAATAAAATATGACTTCTGAGGGCTGGCCAGATAGCTCAGTGGACTAAAGTGCCTGTGTAGGCAGAGCACAGCAGCTGGGGTTAGATCCCAGGCATGCTGTGCTGGCCCTGACCCCAGGGCTCCCTGAGAAGGCATCTGAGGCTGGGCGTGGTGGTGCATGCCTGTAATCCCAGCACTTGGGAGGCTGAGAACAGAAGAATCACTAAGAGTCTGAACTATGTAGTGAGACCCTGTAGACCCTGCAGACCTTGTACCAAACACATTAAAAAATAAAATAAAATATGCGTTCTATCAGAGAGCAAAACTCAATGCAGAGTTGGAAAATTAAAAGTAGAATATCAGTGTAAGATTAGAAATATAATTCAGTGAAATAGGATAAAGAATACATAAAAAGCTAGATGATTGAAATGTCACATATCAAAAGCAAAGCGTGACTATTACCCGATGAAGAAAACGCAGGTATTCAATGAATGGTGATGAGCTGACTTGTTATATATATGCAGCAAAATAAAATTAAGCACATCCCTCAGCATAAAGAAAGCAATCTGGGTGGAATAAGTATACATACAAAGTGTAAAATTTGGATGTATAGATCAGAATGACTTTTTGATGATACCAAGTTTCAAAAAATAGGATTAAAAATAAAAGGACAAACTTAGAAGATAAAAATGGATAGATTTATGCAATAATAACACTCACTTATATCTTGTGTTTTGAATAATTGCTACAAAGACAACAATGCACAACATATTTTTTAATTCGCCCATTAACCTGTTTCAGAAATCTGTTTGGTATTTTTATTTTTTTCTCTTTAAAATAAAAATGATCAAAACTTTTTAAAAAAAATAAAATCCAAAGACACTGAATGGAAGATTTTTTTCCTGCGTATATTTCAGTTTAGCTGTAACAATATCCACTACAGCTTATCAGCTAAAAAAGAAACAAGAATTTATAAACAATTTTCACTCATGTGTGAAGAAAGACAAAGAACAGATAACTAAAATTCAAAAATTAAACAAAGATACAAGTTCTTTTTAAGTATTCAACTTTAGTAATTATAGAATTCCAAGTAAACTAAAAAATTACATACTATTCTCTTCAAATTGCCAGTGAAAATTAAAATCTTAACTAGTAACATGTGAGAGTCAAAATAAAAGAATGAAGCACCAGCCAACTATAAACTGAAACATCTGAAAAATGCCAAATAAACCTTTCCTCCTTTAACTTGGGCATTAGGTATTTTGTCTCGGCAATGAGAAATCTAAAACAAAATTTGGTACAGAAGTTGGGTCCTGGTGATAACTGTACCTAACCATGTGGTTCAGGTGCCTGGCTCATGAGAAGAGTTTGGAAGGGTCTAGCGATGCTGACTGAAAAAATAGGGCTGGAAATCCTTAGGCTGTGCTTGATGGGAAACTTGCCAGATGTCAGGAGAGCAGGACGCTGATAAAAATCCTGCTGCTAAAGATCAGGAGAGGGGATTTTCTGTTGGAAGAAGTACTCCTTGGATGCTGGACTCCACCCACTGGTATGGCTTATCAAAAAGTTTGTCTGCATTTTGCTCACATCCATGGACTGCCTGAGACAGAGATTAAGGTCAGTGGGTTAATCAGTTTTGCAGAAGAAATTTCAAGGCAGTAAATGTTGAGGAAGTGTCATGACTACTGTTGGGTGAGTTTAGTCAGACAATCAAAAGGAAAGGGACCAGCAACATGTTTTAAAATATTTTGGGTTTGACTAGAAAGAAAACTCCAGTAAATTTGATTCTTTCAAAGATGTAACAGAGGACAAACTGGTCACTGAAAATACCATCAAGAAAGTCAAGTATTTTAGAAGAAGACAACAGTAAAGACATCTCAACAACCAACACAGCTCCTACTTTTGCAACCTCAGTGTTGAAAACATGAAAGATTTTGCTTTAAGAAGAGAGCTCTGGAATATGTTACAGAATGGTGTCACCCTGAAGAAGTTGTTTCTTTGGATTTTGTTCACAGGTGCTCTACCCATACAACCAAGAAACAAGGAAGCCTGGCTACAGCTGCCGCTGGCAGCAGACATTCTATCATCCCTGTAGTGCTGGTTTCATGTGTATAAAGATTGCAAGAGTTGTGGGGTCAGTAAGGCTGCCACCTGGAGTTTAGAAGAAGGCCTGGGAGGCCAGGCAGTGTTCCCCTGAGAAAGCAGTGTGTGAAGCTATGGGTGCAAAGTCAGAGGTGCTGTGGTGTCCCTGAAGTTTAAAGAAGCCTGGAATATAATGTGACTGAGGAAAACTGCAAGCAAGGAGCAAAGCTAGCCCAACAGAGGCGCCATAGGGGCTACAGCCACCAGCGGTACCATAGGAAAGAGGCACCACACCCTTTGGAGTTCAAAACTTGCCACAGATTGCTGGAGATGCCGGGAATTGAACTGTGAGATTTAATGACTGCCATGCTGGATTTTGATCTTGCTTTGTTCCCATTCTCTGCTATCCTCATTTGTAACTTTTTGAATGAAAATATCTTGTGCCATTGAATGTCGGAAATGTTTCACTTTCTTTTAATCTGTACAGGAGCTGGCAGTTTTGAGTTTTACTTAAATATCAGAGAAAACTTTACACTTGGACTTCTCAGCAATGCTGAAACTGTTAAGACTTTGGTCTTGCTCTCTCTCTGTCTCTCTCTGTCTCTCTGTCTCTGTCTCTGCCTGTCTCTGTGTCTGTCTGTCTGTCTGTCTGTCTGTCTGTCTGTCTGTCTGTCTGTCTCATGTCTCTGTACTAGATCTTACTTCTTTCCAATGAGCTAGAAAGTGACAAGTTCTGGTTTTCTCTCCTTTCTGCTGAGATCCTACAACAGTCGTTGGTCACTAGAGGTTACTACATTTAAGTTATTTTTCCTTTCTTTTCCTCAGGGTATCTTGAGGAAATTTGACTTGCTTTCCTAAAACCCATAAGGTGGTTAATGAAAATTGAAACTTTGCAGAATTCATTTTAATATTTATGACAGAAGACGTGTTTTAGATACAATGATGAGAAGAATCTCATTGATGCCCTTAATATTATTGATATTGGACAAAATATATGCCACAAACTTTTGCTTTTGTCTGTTTGGCTGTGTATTTTGTTTACTTTATTATTGACCTTGATGATGGTGGGTGGTTTTTTTTTTTTTACCGTTTTGTAATTTGTTTGTAAGAAATTTAAAAGAAG